TCGTTGATCTGAGAAATTCAACTTGGCTGCATTTGTCATGCATTTTTCCAGATGTCCTTTTATTGTTATATTGTAAACTAAATTTGTATTTGTACGTAGGTATATTTATAAATATAATAACTGAATTTTATAAACAGTGCACTAGTTTTATAGTTTAGTAAATTAATTCTTGGGAATGTCTATTCGCGCTTTGCTAGTGTTACCAGTGTCGTCGGCTATGCCAGTGTCGCTGGTGCCGCCAGTGTTGCAATCGTCCAAGTAATTCTTTATATTCTTGGCGAATTACGTTGTTGAAATAGCGCGATTTAATTTAAGAATTTGTAAGTACATGTACACCCAGCATACTTTGGGAAGTTCGTAAATAAAATTCTTTAGCAGTAATTTCTGATCCATTTTACCTTGAAGTGGGGTATAATACCCGTGAAACCTTTGCTGCTCATCATTCCTTCTGCCACTCCCCAGGCGCAAGTACTTTCATCTTAGAGGAGTTTTATGGTTTAACGTTTACAGAAATGGCGGCAAAATGCGGCTCGAGGCACAGAGACCATAGTATATCTACATACAGGATGATCAATATAAATAATAGATTTTTATTAAAAAAAATTAACTATAATAGAAATTTTTCGGAATATTATTGATTTATTCGGAAAAGAAAAAAATCCTATTATTTAGTGAACGCGATTTTCACGAATGGCTTCCTCGATATTCTCCTTAAGTGCCTGAACCTTTAATGGATTGTTCGCAGAACATCCAACGACCTTGAATCTCAGCTCCTGATAACACGATTGTCGAACATATAGCGTTTCCCTCAGCATTTTCAAAGGAAAAATGGGCTAATGATGCCACTGCTCCAAAATCCACACTAAACTGTCTGCAGTTTTGGTTGTTAATATAGCCGCTGAGAAGCAAATGCGCTTCGTCAGAAAAGATGACTAGTTATACCTAGATCCAATATATTCATCCAACGCGGAAATAATATTGTGGACTGCGTAGCTGGAGTTGGACTGATGAGGGTTTTTTTTTTAAGTGCGGCTGAAGGCCACCTACGCGGGTAGGTGTTCTGCGCGAAAATACTGTGGCCCCTGATCTAGTTTAGCCTAGCCAAAACTAGTTTGTTTTAAGGTCGGGTTTGGCCGGTAACATATATATGTAAATGTGACCGTTTTTCGAGCGATCTTCGTCACTGACCCAAACAACCAATAAAGCTATTGAACATAGCAATATCTAGTAAGATGAGCGATTTCCACGATTCAGGTTTGTATTTAATTTAACAAATTTTAGTATGCTATAAAAATATGCTTATCAATTGTTTTCTTTTTTTTTAAGTATGACTTG